AGAGAGAGAGAGAGAGAGAGAGAGAGAGAGAGAGAGAGAGAGAGAGAGAGAGAGAGAGAGAGAGAGAGAGAGAGAGAGAGAGAGAGAGCAGACCACATAGTAGTGATCCCGCGTTTGATCACCCGGGCTGTTGATGTGTACTATTGTAATGTGGGGAATAGTTGTGTGTGTGTGTGTGTCTGTGTGTGTGTCTGTGTGTGTGTGTGTGTGTGTGTGTGAGAGAGAGAGAGAGAGAGAGAGAGAGAGAGAGAGAGAGAGAGAGAGAGAGAGAGTATTATAAAACGATGCTTGGCACGTTGTCATAGTGGTGTGGTGCTGCTGCTGATGAATAATGCAGGCGGATTCCTGAAGGTCAATCAAAGACTTTGGAGCTTTGGGAGTTCTCACTGGAAGAGCCATCTCAACAGATGAGTCTGCTTCTCCGGTTTCCAGAGCCGTTGATTCCGTTTGTTGGAGATGCAGGGTATCAGGTATGTATGCATAGGTGCCTCCCAAGTGCAGAATAAATCCCCCCTCCCCTGCGCCTCTCTTCTCTTTGCCTTTTTACCTTCTTTTTACCCTCTTCGTCACTATCATTTCAAAGTAATTGAAAATCTGATTAAAAAAAAAAAGGTGAACGATTTAAATATCGTAATATCCGCAATGATTCCACATGGATTAACTGGATTTTCGTTTTTACAATTAAGAAAAAGGTTCAAAAAAACAATATTCAATATTCGTCCCATTTCTGCAAAAAATTCTCATTGGTTCGTTTCCTACTACAGTAAGTTCTCAACTTAATTTAGAATTAAAAAGAAATCAACTCAATTTAGAATTAAAAAGAAATCAACTCAATTTCTAGGTTGTTGGATCGGAGGTCCGGGATGTCCGACCGGACGTCTGGTCGGATGTCCGATCGGACAGGGGTTGTCCGACCTAGCGCAAAAAAAAAAAARAAAAAAAAAAAAAAGTTTCAGAAAAATCTGAAAAATATATATGTTATGTAACATAACAATACAAGCAACTTTTGCCTTGGAGTCATGTTCAAATTCGAAGTCAATCATGAGTTACGAAAAAAAAAACTTTTTCTCCCGGACGACGGGGGTACCGGACGTATGGGGGAGACGTCCGGGGGAGACGACCGGCCCCCGGACCATTGGTTAATTTAGAATTAAAAAGAAATCAAATTGAAGTGCAAGCACAGAATCGAACCCAAAGCCTTTTTTTTTATGGATTTGTATCTCTGGGCCCGAAGCCCTCCTCCGTGCAAGCACAGAATCGAACCCGCGACCTCGGCCTCAAGAGCCAAGTATCTTTAGATTCTTGACCCCTGCAGGCAGGACACGGTGTTCAAAAGTGGAACCCCATCCCTTACTGGCCATGAAATCCACCCCACTCCTGGGAGGCTGTAGTGGTTAAACCACGGCAGTACTTCCTAGGGTAGTCGTGCCCATTAACGCTCCACAATTTTAGGAAATGTACGGGCCACTACAGGAGCGCCCAAATTCATCCAACTAGAAACGTATCTAGTACTTTCTACTCTTTTTTTTTTTTTCCGTGGCCTATAGCTGGGCCAAGTACTGGTGGTTTAAGGTACTCGAGTGTTTTTTGAGGCCCAGGTCGCGGGTTCGAATCTGTTGCTTCTGTGCTTTCCATAAGACTCAACACACACCGCACATGACACCACACAGACGCTGGCGATTCTGGCACACTTGGCTCCACTCCACATCCGATAAAATGTTTTGCAATGAAATATCCACGTGTATAAAAAATGTTTCTGGTCTGCTTGTGATCCAGGTTCATTCAGAGTCGTCGATCACTCGGAATGTATCCAGACCAGCAAGAGGACAACGTACATGGGGAATGTTGCGTACTGAAGGGAGGGTCAAAATGTTTTTTTGTTGGTGATAATAAAATGTCCATATGTTTATAAATGTCTAGTAATCAAATATCCATCTGGTCTGAAAGTGTCAATTGCCATTGTTAGGCATTTGGTTGTAAAAGTATTAAAAAAAACAAAAAAAAAACAAAAAAAAACTAAGCTATATTCTTCTCTCAATTTCACCTTTCACTACCTACCTAGCTTTTAACTCCTGAGCCTAGACAGGGGGACCCCTGCAAGCATAGCTACCTCTCACAATTAAGGGGGTGCATGTTGGTCCCCGCCCTAATCGGCGCTGGTTAGGGAGGAGAGTGGGTGGGGCTGCCGCTGCTTGGGGGGGGGGCGGCTAGCACAAAGTTTGAGCATTTTGCCAGTAGCTGTGCCTCCCATCTACTTCATCCGCCCCCATGGAGTGATAGCAGCGTCTATGGCTAGCACTTCCCCCCCCCCCCCCCCCCCCCCCCC